GGGGGGGGGGGGGGGTGTATTTTTTCTGGAATAACCCAATTAGTCTAACAAACTTTACAAGATCCTTCAAAGAATCCTATAAGATCTTTAAAAGATACTCATCTAAGATCTTCAAGGATCCTAGCAAAGATTACCTGAGAGGTCTTTGCAAGATCGTGACCAAACCCTTGAATATCGTGGAGGATCTTAGCAAAAATCTTTGCAAGATCCTTCAAAAAATTCCCTAAAGAACTTTCAAAGATCCTCATTGAATCTTCAAGGATCTTGAAGGATCCTAGCAAATTAAAGGTCCTGTTAGAATCTTACCAAGGATCTTTGCAAGATCTTGATCAAATCCTTGAAGATCTTGACAGACCTTGGCAAAGATCTTTTTAAGATCCTTCAAAAGATTCCTTAAAGATCTTTCAAAGATCCTCATTGAATCCTCGAGGATCTTGAAGGGTCCTAGCAAAGATCCTGTTTAAGGATCTTACCAAGGATCATTGCAAGATCTTGGTCAAATCCTTGAAGATCTTGAAGGATCTTAACAAAGATCTTTGCAAGATCCTTCAAAAGATTCCTTAAAGATCTTTGAAAGATCCTCGTAGAATCCTCAAGGATCTGGAAGGATCCTAGCAAAGATCCTGTTTAAGGATCTTACCAAGGATCTTTGCAAGATCTTGATCAAATCCTTGAAGATCTTGAAGCCTGGCAAAGATCTTTGCAAGATCCTTCAAAAGATTCTTCAAAGATCTTTGAAAGATCTTCACTGAACCTCAAAGATCTTGAAGGATCTTAGCAAAGATCCTTGAAAGATCTTTACATCAAAGATAGCTTTGAATATCTTTCAAAGATCTTTAAAAGATCCTTAAAAGATCCTTAAACGATCCTTAAAAGATCCCTATCTTTAAGGATCTTTGTCAGGTCCTTGAAAATCTTCAAAGATCCTGTGAGGATTTTCACAAGGGTAGAATAGATTAGAATAGAATAGTACAGCAAATAAGTGAAAAAAAAAAAAACAGCACAGAAAAGACCATGACAAGACAAAAAGGCAAAGCAGAACAGAATAGAACAAAATGGAATAGCATAGAAAAGCATAGAATAGAAGAGAATAACATATAATAGAAAGGAATAGAATAGCATAGCATATTAGAATAGAATACAACTGATAGCACACAATAGAATAGCATAACATATAGAATAGAATAGAATAGTTCTGGAAAGAAGAGAAAATAACGCTACAGAAAAGATTACAAGAGGACAATTACAAGAAGAGGGAATAAAGTTCATCTGTAAACAAATAATGCAATATTACTCAGAGGTTAAGCCCATCTAGTGGTCAGTAATAACACAGAAGAATTATGAAATCAAAGAGCATAACAAAGTAATGGAAATCAGAAGATTATAGTGCATTAAAAACAAAAAATATCAGAGAATTAATATAAAAGAAAATCTTTACATTTCAAATTTAGTGAATGAAATAAAACAAAATATGCATTGGGTTAGAAAAGGAAAGACAGTTCACAGCGTACTGAACAAAACAACACGTTTTGATGATTTTGATTGAAGATAGAGTAAAGGAGTAAGAAATAAAATTGAAAGATACAGAGAAGAAAAGAATGAAGCTATAGTACAGCTCAATGAAAGGTAACAGAAGTCAAGATAAGAGTGCTACAATATTGTAATATGTCATATGGGATACGGATAAACAATGATGCTAAAAAGAATTGGGTCTGAGAACATGCATTGTGACGTGAGTCCTCTTATTAAGAGGTGTTCCTATACACAAACAGTAACAAGTAGACAATCTAAATGGGATGTAATAAAAAAATATAGAGTGCAAAATAGCTACTCACTCATTTTCAGTGATGCATGTGCCTAGCCGCTCTCATGAATACTTCTTCTGTTGGGGCAAAGATTGCAGATTAACCAGAGGCTTAACTGAATGCATAAGCATTCTAAAATATATTTAACTGGAAATTACATTTCTTAATCAACAACTGATCAAACTTACTTGCTTGATCTAAACCCAGCATGTCCTTTAACAAAAATTAGACTTTAAACTTAAGCAAAAATGTTAAAATAACAGTCCAAAATAACCACTGATTGTTTTCTTTCTCAACACCACCAGTAGATACTGAGGCCTGCCAACCGAACGAAATGTTGACGATTCTTGTTGAGATCACCTCATTCGTTTTAAAGCTGAAAGAGTACAAGTGGAGAATATTTACAATGTCGCTCGCAACTACCTTTGTTAGCTCCCTCCTATTTTTCTGAGACTGTGGGGCAGACTTCCAAAAGACTTGCAAGGACGGTATAAAACGTGGACCCCTCAATCTGGACCCCCTACTGGACCCCCTTTTGGACCCCATCTGGACCCCTTCTGGACCCCCTTCTGGACCCCCATTTGGACCCCCATCTGGACCCCCATCTGGACACCCTATTTTTTCTTCCAGAAAATACGGGCTCCTGATTTAAATAATTAAACTTAGAACATAACATGATGAAGTCTATTTAATCAGTGAGCAAGATGTGAAGAAATTAATGAATTCACGCAGCTCGTTCCCAGATTAAGCGGTCCAGGTTCGAGCCCTGGCCAGGGACACTGTGTTGTGTTCTTGGACAAGGCACTTAACTCTCACAGTGCCTCTCTCCACCCAGGAGTATAAATGGGTACCAGCAAATTGTTGGGGAAACCTAACAAATTGAGGGGGAGTGACCTGGGATGAACTAGCATCCCGTCCAGGGGAAGTAAAAATACTCCTCGCCGCTTCTTTCTACAGAAACCGGGATAAGCTCCGGCAGCTATGAGCCAGTTGTCTCCAAGGCTTCACACTTTGTGTCTAGAATAATATAATGGCTGTGGCCACACTATGAGAGTTGATGGGGTTATATTTCTAATTAATCAATTACAATTAACCGTGTTACCAAAAAATCGTGAGTGCATGGCCGCTATTCTCAGCTGGGTTAACGGTTACCATGGAAATTAATTGAAGAACAATATATTTTTTAACCAACTTAGGTTAAATTCAAACTACCTTTCTGCGTGGTCTAACCCAGGTTAGTTATCTCTTATCCGCACTGTGCACTGGCTTTTTCGTCAAATGTGTCAGTTATCATGGTCTGTGAGATGCTGTTCACTTAAAGGCATAAACAAGTGCATAATCTTCTCCTGAACATGGCGAGTGATAACAACAGTTTGAAACAGTTGTATTACTAAAGCGGATTTTTGTTTTTTTTTCCTACGATGTGTCAGCTATACCATATCAGTAAAGCTTGCAAGGAAGCATGGCCTGAACAGGAAGCGCTTATATTCACCTTAGGAGAAATTTTAATCGACCTCCGCAAAGAACAAAGGAGTACGTCAAAGGGAAGCGGCAGTTTGTTAAAGTGGCAAGAAATGCAGATGAATGAATGAATTCGTGAACAGTTTTAAGTGACGTGCATTTTCCAAACATAACAGCTGTGGACCGAGAGCGTTTCACAGTTTCTAGATCTTATAATTCACGCGCGCTTCTCTATCGATAAAGATGCTCCGAAGCAAGTGTTTCTTTTTGTCATAAATAAAAGAATACGCAAAATTCTTAGTGAAAGGACTCGATGTTCATTCGGAGGTGCTCTCTATAAAAGCCTAGGTATAAAAGTCATGCATGGCAGGATTCCCGTCAAATTCGAGGACCATTCATTCGGCGGCAGTGGAGAGCGTCTTAAACCGTGAAGAGGTCTATTCAGTGAACTTTGTTAAATAAGCTTCAAGGATAAGTGAAGAAAGTAATGCACTAAGCTGTCTTAATTAACATTTAGAAATATCCCCCAAGAATATACAATCCAACTGCCACACAAACCTAATATTTTTCACATTCCACTGCCCGCAACCGTCTTGTTTCAAAAATGGATATCAAAATACATGATAATCAGACGGCACTACCACGTTAAAGATTTTATACTTGAGCTGACATGATACAAGAGTTTGCAAGCGGGTGGTACACTGCCTCGACTTGCAACAGAAATTCAGTTTGATAGATTAGTGCATCAGGGCTTTTCACAACACGTATTCAGCCCTCTAATATTAATTTTGCGTCTATTCATTACCCATTTCTATCAGTTCTTGGTGCAGAAAATCCGTCCTTTCGTCTTCACAAGCGAGCCGAAGTTTTGAACGTCGATCAGTACTCGGTACGGCGTCGTAGCCTTGAATTCCGAGAAATACAGAAATAATGTAATGTGATATCTGATCGAAAGGAAAGGCTTTTCTCGGAAAATGTACTTTGTACCCGGAAGGCAACACGACACCTGGGGTGCTTTCCATTATGCCAAACCGACCGGTCAGAGATCAGTGGGAATACCCGAGGAAAATGAGGGTGCTTACCATTTGTCAGAATAAACCGGTTGGGATGACCGTTGCATAATGGTAAGGGTTTTTCCAAAATCAGCAACCCAACCGAATGAGATGGCGCTTACCATTTGCAATTCGATTTCTCGTAATTGTTTTCGGCTGATGAGAGACTGGAAACTGGAACATTTACCAAATGGTAAGGAAATTTCCGCCGTTCCGTTCCGAACGGAAAAAGAGGACTGCCTCTGAACGTAGTCTACAATTTCCGAACGGATTTTCCGGAAAATTACTGTTCCATTTGACTTTCAACCGAAATTTCCGGATTTTTTTGCTAAATGGTAAGCCCCCTTTGGCATAATGGAAAGCACCCCTGGCTTGTGACTATGCATTAGCGTGATTCCTTACAATGTCTAGGTCCCACATTGATCCATTTTCAAGATTCGCATTAACACAAAATATTTCTGTCGTGCATTTATAAACAAATTGATTATGCGTTGTTGTGGTGGAATACTAAGGAAAAGTATATAAGTCGACATAATGAAATGATCTTATGAAAAGAAACGTAGGGTGCGTTTTTTGAGAAAATCCAAATCCGGATTTCTGAATGCAAAAACGGATTTTGCGTGTTTTTTTTTTTTTGTTTTTTTTTTTATTTATCTTTTTTTCGGTGAAATCCAAAAATGCATCATGAATCCATAAAATCCACACTCCGAGTGGATTCTTCGGTTCTTCTCCCTGATCCGAATGATCTGGATCATCCCAAAAAACGCAGCCGTAATCTTTAGCAACCTAAGGACATTCGATTCCGATGAGACATGCTTCACCTCTTTGATCTCCTGGCAGAAGGAACTATACCATGCCTCGAACTGCTGCCCGCTAAAATTTCCACTTTACCTCCCTGATATCTGTTTGTTTCTTGGCCTTTTCGGTTTCTCGGAAAAATCCGCCCCCTTACTTCGAAGCCGGCTGAAGCAAATTCCACAGCTTTCTGAGAAACCTTGGAATTATTATGCAAATTTACGTCACGCACCATTTCTCGGAAACTAGACAATATTTGAATCCTTTCCAATCGAATGGTCACCATTCACCAGTAATTTAGCAGGAAACGCTGTCTTCTGGTTTTGAAGGGGGAAGTATTTCGTCAAAATTGCAAATAAGGAAATATTCGACAGTCGATGTAAATTTCCAGAACTATCAAGATTCTGTTTCAGCTTAAATTTTGAGCTAAAAAATAGCCAAAGATACGTGTGTAGCCTTTCACAAACATGATTGCCAAAGACATGCATTCAAAGTCTCACAACACAGGAAACGACAATTTAAGTACTTGTTAGGACGCTTTTGTTGCTCTGGTTTGCTCGCTCTGAAAGCAGATCACCTATCAAATTATCTGCCTAGCCGATCGATTTTCACGTATTTTGCTCCTCAGCGAAAAGGCTTTATCATGCTCGAATCCTTATGGAAATTTAAGCCAAACAATCCAAAAATTACTATTTACATGTCTGGAAGCGGGTCTTTCTTACACGTGGTATTTATCTACTTTGTATGGAGAAAACAATAAATAAATCAATATAAATAAATAAAGCGGATCTGATACTTAAGAAATTTTGCGAGACAATCTGAAGGGAAAGATTACCTAGTATGACTGTGGCTACATGTACAGCGCCTGTAAAGCCTGGCTCACACTAGCCACATAACGACATGACGACATCATTATAACGACGTGAAAAAGGACGTTATCTGGGTGCAAAAAGGATGTTATGTTTGCAGTGTGAACATACAGGCATAATGACATATTTAATATCAACATAACAGCATGAACGTAACGGCATAAAGATAAAAGTGATCTTTTCTTTGTGTGACCAATGTATGTCGTTATGTCGTTATGCCGCTAGTGTGAACCAGGCTTAACAACACGAATTTCCTTATCACTGTCACATCATGGCTACGACAAATTACCATCTTGCATTTTCTCAGTAAAATTTGTCCTTTTATATCGATTTCTCGGTAAGCCTGAGCCTTAAAATTCCGAGAAATACGGCAACATTCATTACGATATCTCGGGAAAATCAAATATGCCGTCTATCCAGAAGGTCAGAGGCTGCCCGGCGCTCCATCAGCATCAATGTCCAATCGGGTGATTCTTAGACTTTTCATCTCTTACGCTGTGAACGTTTTCGACTCATCGCTATTAAATGAACTGGGAAAGAACGGAAACGACCGCATTTCATGTATCTATTTCAACTTTGCATGGTCAGACCAAAATGCTTCCAAAAGGCGTTTCTGAATTTTGCTTGGTTATAATCATGTAGAAAAATGTCTTCGTTGTCGCTAGTTATGACGGGCTTGTGCCTTCAGTAGCTTATAGTACAGATCATGCCCATGAAGCACGATCTGCGATCCACATAAAAATCATAAATATGCGCTGTTGCTTCGATAACGACGGACGATAACAAGGTCTATTCTCAACCAGACATAGTATTTTCAAGGTTTGGTCGCTTTTAGCAAGTGACAACAGTAAACTAAATATATATACAGCTAACTGTTTGGTCAAAACTTCCTCCCAACCTCAGTATTGTCCACTTATGTTCCATATCGTCCTTCTGGAAAAGATCTGCTCGCTTTCTCTACAGAATCAAGCAAAGTTTGGAAACCTGATCAGAAGACCTGATATCTTGCTTACTGCATGAAATCTAATCCAAGGCCTTCCGAGAAATCATGAATTATGCGCGGTCGAGCGATCAGGTTGCCGTATTTCTTGGAAACCGGGCAATCAGACTATTTGAAATTATCCCACTCATAATACCGACAATCTTGGACAAAACTCGTTAAGAAAATACCACATCTTATGATCAAAAAACCGATTGCAGTAGATGTGGACAGCAAAGTACTTAAGAGTGCCTGCCTGTAAAAATCAGACAAATTCTTAATTTCACGGCAAGAGTCGAAAATTCGATTTCGCTCATATTCTT